CACTGACAGGTCCCCACGGTCCACACTGGCGGCCGGCGCCGCCCCTCTCACCGGACCCGCCCCCGTCACGGGCGCCGTCCCTGCCGCGGCCTTGGCATTGGCCGCCACCACTGCTCCATTTGTCACCGGCCCTGCCGCCGCCGTCTCGCCCTGCACCGCGGCCGCCGTTCCCACGATTTTAGGGGCCACCGTACGCACAGCTGGCGTCGCCACCGCCACCGCCGCCGTCGCTGCTGGCGGCGCCGTCTCCGTTGGCACCGCTGTCCCAGCAGCTGGCCTCGCCCCTGTCACCAGCGGCGGCACCGCCACCGCCGCCGTCGCTGCTGGCGCCGCTCCTGTCACCACCGTCGGCACCGCCGGCGCCACCGCCGTCACCGCCGGTGCCGCTGCTTCCACAGCCGACACCGCCCCCGTCACCACTGTCGGCGCCACCGCCGCTGCCGCTGCCGGCACCACTGCCGCACCAAATTCCACGCCATTGGGCATCTTCACACACACTCCGCCCAGTGCCACAATACCAGACATACCGAGCACCACGTCCATGCCCAGCGGCCGATCGGGTACGACCAGGGCCGTCAGGCTCGCCCGGTTCTCCCGGTGCTGCACGGTGATCTCAGTGATGCCCAGACAGCGCAGCGTCCCGCCGTTCACGGTCATCATGTTGACCGGGCGCGGTGACCAGTCCGAGCAGGCTCCAGCATGAACGAGTGTGTCCGTGCAGCCCGTGTCCACTAGAGCACGGCACTTACGCCCGTCCACGCTGATCCACACGACCGGAAGTGTGCGCGCTACTGATTGGGAGACGGCGCTGGCGCTGACGCGGTCTCCCGACCGTTTGGGCACCTTCTTGCGATGTGACCCACCTGGTCACATACCCAACAGCGCGGCGGGGGGCGGCTGGCTCTGCGCTCCATCGGTTTACGGCGGCTCGTTCCGTCGGCCCGCTCACGGGTCGCCGCCGCCACCGTGGAGGTGCGCTCGTCGCTGAGCACTGCCCGCGCCCTCGTCAGAATGCTGGCCAGGTCCAGCGCCTCTGCTCGAGTGCCGGCCCGAATCGCGCTGCGGACGGTGTCCGGCAGTCCAGCGATGAAGGCACAAGCGAGGGCCTTTTCCGATACTCCACCGTGCAGCGTGGCCAAACGGCGCAGGTCCGCCAGATAAACGTCGGCCGACTCGCCCGGCTGGAGACGGCGGCTGGCATACGCGTCGTAGGCCGCCAGCGGGTCCATGGCGAAGGCGTCGTACAGCGCGTCCCTGACGCTGTCCACGGAGCGGCGGCTCTCCTCTGACATCTGCAGCCAGACCGCGAAGGCACCGCCAGTCAGTCGTGCTGGCAGCACGAGCGCCAGATTCACCCCATGGTGCTTGCTCAACACCTCGGCACGGGTGAACCATTCCACTATGTCCGCACCGGTCCCTTCGCCACTGAACTCGGGTATTAGCCGAGGGTCGAAAGTGGCCCTTCCGCCGGACTCCGCTGCCGTCGGTGTTGTTGTGAAATGTGGACCATATTTAGTGCCGCCCGCCCCCCAGCGCTACCTGGTGCTTGTTTGGTCACCTCCCCAGCGCCACCTATTGGCTCTGTTTTAGGATGGAGCAGATTGCGGGTCAGATTCTGTGGACGGTGGCGCGCCTCTGGTGAGGAAGGTGTGAACCACAGGGCACACGTGGCACACTGACCCAGTTTTGCATCAGCTGATCGCCGCAATAAACCAGTTGACGGTCATCGTGTTTGGGCCGTGGAGGTGCGCCGATTTAGCCGCATGATTTTGAAACTCGCAGATATAGCTCAATTTATTGTAACCAGAGCAGCATTCAGAGTGACTAAACCAATCAGGCGAATTAGTTTTCGTAACATTGGTGCCGAAACCGCCGGGAAAAGTGCTTTGAGTGATCGGTATGTCTCTGGAAGAGCTCAAGCGGGCGAGGACAGCGGCGCGTGGCTGGCTAAAAAGGGCCACAGTAAAGCTTGAATCTGTCATTGCTGATGAAGACAGTGATGGGGTAGCTATTCAGAGCTACCTGGATGATTTTGATCAGCGCCTGGCTAACTTGGACTCTGCTCAAGAAAAGCTAGAGCTAGTGCTTCATGATGATGAGCTTGAAAGTGACTTTGAGAAAGCAGCTGAGATCCGTGATGCTGCGCTTGGCATTAGGGTCAAAGCTGTAAGGCTTAAAGTAGCTCGTGAGAGAGACTCAGCTCAAAGTGACAATGGCAGTAGCTGTACTTCTCAAGTAAAGCTGCCTAAGATCGAGTTGCCAAAGTTTGGTGGCGATGTGGTAGATTGGTCGACATTCTGGGACCAGTTCAGCGCCACTGTTGACCAGTCTGACTTGGCAACAGTCTCGAAGCTCGTGTATTTGAGATCTTTGCTCTATGGTGAAGCTAAGCAGGCGATAGATGGTCTTGCGGTGACTGCCACCAACTATGCGGTGGCCTGTGACATTCTCAAAGCAAGATTTGCCAGACCTGCTAAGGTTATTTTTGCTCATATCGAGAAGCTTCTCAATCTGGGCAGTGGTTCTGATCTTAAGCCCATTCAAGATGAACTCTTGGTGCATATTCGAAGCCTTGAGAGGCTTGGTGTCGGTGGTGAGAGGTACGGTGTAATACTTACCCCACTGGTACTGAGCCGTCTGCCCGAGGACTTCAGGATGGAATGGGCACGGGACTGTGAAGGAAGAGAGAGTGACTTGGACTACCTTCTGCAGTGTCTGAAGAATGAAATAAGCCGCAAGGAGAGATCTCAAGTGCTGGAGGGCAACAGTGTTTCTGTGCAGTCTGGGGCACAGACTCGGATCACCCCAGGGAGGAGAGGCAACAGGTCAGCAGCAGGTGCTGTGCCATCGGCAGCAGCCCTGCAGGCGACGACAGCTGCAGCAGGTGCTGTGCCATCGGCAGCAGCCCTGCAGGCGACGACAGCTCCAGTGGACAGATGTGGATTCTGCCAGAAACCCCACCATGTCTCAGCTAAGTGCAGGGGATTTCTGAAGCTAGGAGTGGGGAAAAGGCTCATGAGAGTAAAACAGTCAGGGCTGTGCTTTCAGTGCTTCAGTGCTGGTCATAGAGCCAGAGATTGCTCAGTCAGATGCGAGTGTTGTGGTGGCCGCCATCATGTTTTGTGCTGCTACAAGCAGCAAGGCCAGACTCAGGGTGATCAGGGTTCTACTGAATCCCACCGTCAGATGAGCAACAGTGCTGATGTGGGAGCTGTGAGTAGAGGAGTGTCTGATGTGTCACTCTCATGCAACACTGTGCAAAAGAAAGACTGTATTGTGCTGCCTACTGCTAGGGTCACCGTCATTGGGTCTCGGGGGCCAGTAGAGGCCACAGTTCTGTTTGATAGCGGATCTGATAGGACTTATGTGTCAGAGTCACTGGTACAGCGTGCCTCACCGAAGTGGACTGGGTCTGAGGACACATCGTATGTGGCTTTTGGTGGTAAGAAGTCATGTGTCTCACAGCAGAACACTTATGATGTGACAATGCAGAGTGCCTGTGGTGAAAAGGTGTCTGTCAAAGCTGTGTCAGTTCCTGTGATCTGTCAGCCCCTACAGAGACCTCGTGTGACTCAGGACGTATTGCAGCAGCTGGGCTTAGCTGGCATTGAGATGGCTGATGTGTACCAGAGTGACCGTGAAGTGTCTATTGATATCCTGATAGGATTGGATGTGTACTGGAGCCTAGTGAAACCTGGCATTGTTCGTGCTGTAGATGGCCTGGTAGCTCAGATGACTGTGTTTGGCTGGGTCATTTCTGGAGCTGTGGCTGGCAGTGGCGGCTCACTGTCTGGTGTGGGCTGCCAGCTTCTGACGTTAGGTGATGTGCACAGCACTTCACTCAGGAACCTCTGGTCTCTGGAAGGGGTAGGCATTGCTAAAGATGATGATGCCATGTCTGATGTTCTCGCCGAGTTCGAATCGTCTGTTCACATGAGGGAGGGACGCTATGAGGTAAAGTTACCCTGGAAACCTGGTGCAGTGGGTAAGCTTCAGGACAACCTCGCGTCTGCCAAGGCTCGGTTAGCGAGTCTCACACGTAAACTGTCAAAGGACCCTGGACTGTGTGACCGGTATAACAGCGCTCTGCGAGATATGGAGGAGGCTGGTGTGATCGCGGAGGTGCCTGCTGAGGAGATGTGTACCTCAAAGCCGACTTTCTACCTGCCACACAGACCGGTGGTCAAGGAGAGTAGTAGCTCCACGAAAGTCCGACCTGTTTTTGATGCATCGTCGTGCGGACCAAATGGCGTGTCCTTGAATGATTGTTTAGAGATAGGGCCATGCTTGCTCCCTGACCTGGTAGAAGTGCTTCTAAGGTTTAGGAGGTGGCCTGTGGCTGTGACAGGTGACATCACAAAGGCCTTTCTGCAGATATCCCTCTGCAAAGAGGATCAGGACACACACAGGTTTCTGTGGGAGCGTGACGGGGTTGTGCGCGTGATGAGGGCACAGAGAGTGATTTTTGGTGTGTGCAGCTCTCCATTTCTATTGAACGCTACCATACGCCACCACCTGTCTCACTACCCAGACTCTGCAGTGATCACAGAAATGCGTGAAAACTTCTATGTAGACGACCTGCTGTCAGGAGCAGACACAGAGCAGGAGGCCGCTGAGCTTCTGTCAAAGGCTCAGGAGGTGATGTCAGACGCCGGTATGACGCTCACTAAGTGTAGGACGAATAGCCCAGTGCTGTTCGAAAAGGCTCAGACTGTGATGGGGACAGGTCTGAACGAGAGCTGCAAAGTGCTTGGTGTGATGTGGCAGCCCACAGATGATGTGTTTACGTTTCAGGGCGTAACACTGCCTGATGATATCGTGCCCACGAAGCGAGTGGTGCTCAGTTTTGTAGCTCGTATGTTTGACCCTCTCGGCTTCGTCGGCCCGTTTGTGATGACCTTGAAATATTTGTTTCAAGAGCTCTGGCAGTTGGGTCTACACTGGGACGAGCCGCTTCCTGAGATCTTCTCTGAGACCTTCAGCCGGTGGCTGAGGGAGCTGGAGCTGTTGAAAGAGTTCCAAGTGCCGCGCCGCTACTTCGAGACGGCGTGGAAGGGCACCCAGCGAGTGGAGCTGCTGGCTTTCTGCGATGCCTCGCCAAAAGGGTATGGTGCAGCCGTCTATATCCGTGTGCCCCTGGATGACGGCTCGTTTGATGTGACCCTGGTGATGGCGAAAAGTCGCGTGTCGCCTCTCAAGAAGCTCACGCTTCCTAGACTTGAGCTTTTGGGGTGTCTGGTGGGTGCCCGTCTGGTTGTGTTTGTCAGACGAGCTCTCCGCCTCCCGGAGGACACGCGCATTTCATGTTGGACAGACTCTATGATAGCGCTAGGGTGGATTCGAGCAAATCCACTAAAGTGGAAGCAGTTTATAGCGAACAGGGTCTCTGAAATCCAGAGCCTGACCAGCCCAGCGTGTTGGCAACACTGTGCAGGTGTGGATAACCCGGCTGATTTGACCACCAGAGGGGTGTCGGCCGAAGAGCTGGTCGGTTCTGATCTGTGGTTGTCTGGTCCGCAGTGGCTCTCCAGCCCAACAGGTCAACCTGTCGCAGCTGCGGAGCCGGAGCCAGAGGCGCCACGGCTACTGGGTGAGGAGGCTGTTCTGACAGCGACTACTCCGGCCCCGTGTTCGCTCGACTTCCAGCGCTGTGGATCCTTCTCCAAGGCGGTGCGCGTCACAGCCTGGGTGAGGAGGTTCATTCGGAACGCCAGGACGCCTGGTGCAGGCGCTCGAGGTAAGGGGCCCAGAACGCGGCAGAGTGCCGCTAAACGGCTTCAGCTGGAGTTAGACCCTGACGAGATTGTGCAAGCGAGACGTCAGCTGCTAGTCCTGGTACAGGGTGAGGCCTACCCGGACGAGCTGAGAGCACTGCGATCGGGCAGAGACGTCGCGAAAGGGTCGTGCCTGTACCGTCTCGTGCCATTTGTTGATGATGACGGACTGATCAGGGTGAACAGCAGACTGCAGATGTCTGATCTGTCCTACGACGAGGTTCATCCCGTCGTTCTGCCGACCTGTCACGTGTCGGAGCTGCTAGTCCGTGAGCAGCACTTGCTGATGCGACACGCTGGCGTGTCTGCCCTAATCAGCTCACTCAGAGGGTCGTATTGGATTTTCGGACTGCGACGCCTCGCAAAGAGAGTGAAAAGGGGATGTGTTCCATGTCAAAGGCAGGATACTCGAGCATGCAACGCGCCAGTGGCGCCGCTTCCGAAGTCGAGGGTGACTGAGGCACCCCCGTTTGCTGTCACCGGCATAGACTTCGCAGGGCCGGTGTTCTGTGTAGATGAGCCGCGCAAAAAGTTGTACGTGTGCCTGTTCACATGTGCGGTAACCAGGGCAGTGCATGTAGAGCTGGTAGACTCCCTGTCTTTAGAGGACTTCATGCTGGCGCTCAGGCGTTTTGCAGCCAGGAGGGGAATGCCCACTGAGATTTACTCCGATAATGCTGCGACGCTGAAGGGCGCTGATTCTCTCTTGCAGAGACAGTTCGGACATTTGGCACCGGCGTGGAAGTTTATCGTCCCACTGTCCCCCTGGTGGGGAGGATGGTGGGAAAGACTGATTAGGTCGGTTAAGTCGGGACTAAGAAAGGCGCTAGGTAAGCGCTGCCTGACGAGGATTGAGTTGGAGACGCTTCTCAGCGAGGTCGAGTCCTGCATAAACTCGCGTCCATTGGTCTATGCTGGTGATGATGCGGATGCGACCGAACCCTTGACTCCCAGTCACTTTCTGATAGGCAGGGGGTCCGGCTTTCAGCCGGGAGAGCAGTTAGATCCAGCTGCAGCAGCGCGACAGTCGCTGCCGGCTCGCGCCAGACTTCGTAAGGAGCGCATGGATCGGTTTTGGGAAGTTTGGTCGTCCGCCTACTTGCGTCAGTTACCCACTTCCGTTCGCCAATTCCGCCATCACGGTAGCTTGAGGGTAGGCTCAGTCGTTTTGATTCATGAGAAGAACGTTCCGCGCTTGATGTGGCCGGTTGGTGTGGTTGTGCGGCTGTATAAAGGGTCTGATGGTGTCGTACGATCCGCTGACCTACGTACAGCGAAGGGTGTCCGTACTCGCGCGATTCAGTGTCTCCACGATCTAGAGTGCGATTAGAGAGTGGAGCGTCTGGTTAGGCTTTCAGACAGAGTCGTCTCTCTTTCGTTGTAGTTAAGTGTATCCTTGTGTGTGTATACTGACCGGGTTTGTTGATCAGTTGTGTGCTAATGCACTCGTCATTTCTGGCCAAGCTGATGTGTTTCGCTATTTGATCTCTGTGTCATGATTGTTGCTAGGCCTAAAGTGTGTTGGAGTATCACGTATCGATGTTCTCTATACTCCAACGGGGCGGAGAATGTTGTGAAATGTGGACCATATTTAGTGCCGCCCGCCCCCCAGCGCTACCTGGTGCTTGTTTGGTCACCTCCCCAGCGCCACCTATTGGCTCTGTTTTAGGATGGAGCAGATTGCGGGTCAGATTCTGTGGACGGTGGCGCGCCTCTGGTGAGGAAGGTGTGAACCACAGGGCACACGTGGCACACTGACCCAGTTTTGCATCAGCTGATCGCCGCAATAAACCAGTTGACGGTCATCGTGTTTGGGCCGTGGAGGTGCGCCGATTTAGCCGCATGATTTTGAAACTCGCAGATATAGCTCAATTTATTGTAACCAGAGCAGCATTCAGAGTGACTAAACCAATCAGGCGAATTAGTTTTCGTAACAGGTGTCACACCAGCACTAGCACTCGCAGATGCCTTCACTTTAGGCATGGTGCCGAAATAGCTTGTAGTCGAGTGTATTGGGTGCTTCTCCTGCGACCGTTCCAACCACACTGCCAACCCTCTCGCACGACCCGGCGCCGCTACCACCGCGACTCGGCGCCCCCGTCGCCACACATGTAACAGGACACCCCCCTTGGACACATTTGTCAGTGTCGGCATAGACGGCGTCCCCCAGGCGCGTCTGGGCCACGCAGCGTCTCAGCCGGTCACACAGAGCTACACATAACTATAAACTACAGCTTGACTGATCCCCACATGGATCTGTCATGCTTGTAATAGGTATTTTTAATTTTTGTATGAAGGATGTGCACAGTTTTGACAGAGTTTGTGACTAGAGACGCCCTATGCGAGGTTCTTAAGTCCGTGCTACTGACAGCCTTATTTCAGGCGTTTGACCTGACTTTGACCCGACCTGTGACCTCAAAATTCAACTTTCAAATACTTATCTGAAGCGTCTCTTCGCTTTCTTTCGCTTGCCGCCTCGTGCGTTCAGCTGTCCCATATTAGTTCTCGAGTTATATTGGCTGGAGGCGTTTAACGTTCTCCCCCCCCCCCCTCCCCAGCAAACGGCGGATGGTGGAATACCTTAGCAACTGTCGGGCTAACGTGTCAAGAAGCTATTGGTGAAACAAAAATCGGGAGGGAGCAGATTCTGTCCCCCCCCCCCCACCCCCACCCTTCCAGCGGGCGCGGGTGAACGATAATGCAGCTGAGTACCAGTGAGTATGGTATGTGTCTATCATTTCAAGCGCTGACCCTGCGGCGCAAAGAAGGCTATTCGTTCAAGATTTACTTCAGGGTTAGTTTGGCTTATGTATTAGAAGTGCAGCAGTACACACAGGAATTACAATGGCTTTCGCGTTCAAATCAATCCTGTTGGACATAGCTGCTGCAATGAACCACTTTCCTTCTATTGGTTACAGCAATGATGAGCCTGTAGCGACGTCGACAAACAGGGTACGTTGTGAAAAGCACGGGCACGAATGCGCATTGCGCGGCCTCCATCACAGCAGTTCGGTCAGTGGTAACGCTCAACAACACAGTTTTGCATGGAACTACGCGTATGTTTCTATGGAATGCCCGCCGTAAACATAACTATTTTCGTTTTTGCTTGCATTTATCATCCAGCAAGAACATTGAATACGGTCATAAGATGAGCATAATTAACATATTTAAGTCAGTGCGGTGCCATAATTTATACAGTGAATTTAACTAACAGTTAATTTTCAGCCATAGATAGGTACAGTTGAGAAAGACAAATAATGATAAAGAATGCTGGGCACAATTTATCCCTTCTTCACTTCAGCCCCACGGGCTTCCCAAACTGAAATATCCTGAAAACCCGACTCTACCGAGTCCCTGAAACACCGCAAATGACATACGGCGAAGCATTGTTATAGCATGGGTGATCGAGGAAAATAAGTGAAAAGACGGTGCGGCGGCCGCGTGCCATAGTGCCCTCGCGTCTCGGGCGCGTAACATCAGGAGAATGCGAGCATACAGAAAACACACTACGTTTATTAGAAATGTCGTTGTTATATGTATGTAAAAGATGACATAGCTATGTCAGCTCGCCTTGAAACAAAGTGAAATTTTCCATGGGTAAATCTTTATGGCTCACCCTATACGGATAAGGGGAAAACAGAAAATGCACATCGTTCCCTCATTTGAGCAGAATTACGACCGTTTCTAATAATGCCTTTGTGTGCTTACAGCAGTCTGGTGCTGGGTTTGGCTTCAAACGAAAAATTGCCATCAGATTTCTTACATTTACTGCCCAGTACCAACGATTATAATTTATCTGAAGTATTTCCAGAGAACTACGATAAATACATGCTACCGAAGCAGTCAGGTAAGAGCAGCCTTCCTGTGAATTTCGTTACTTTCTCTCGAGATTGTTAAGTGAGCTGCCATGATTTGAGAGGCACATTTAAACAACAAATGGTACAGAAAGTCTTTTTGAATCAGTAGTCGTCTGTTATTGACAAAATATGCCCTGTCTTATTAACGTTTTTTTGGTCTTTCCGTTTCAAAGCCAATGCTGAACTGGTGCCTGAGTTTGAAACAATGCAAGAAGAGTTAACACTTCTACTGTTCTGATTGAGATATTTCCTGGTTAACCCGCGCCCTGCTGGGGGGGTGTTTGAACACCCCCCTTGTGGTTTTTCGCGAATATCTCAAAAACGGCGGCGCGGAGCGCCGCCGTTTTTGGTACACCTTATCATACATCAATTCTACACATGTTGTGAAAATTTCAGACCAAGGTCATTCAAGGTCAGGTCACCAGGTCACTTGAAGTGACCTCATCTCATAAAAAGTTTCAATGTCTGTCATAGCTAAACCGAGTGACCGATCGCTTTGAAACTTTCAGCGATTGCTAAGAGCAATAGCATGTACAAAATGTTTATCTCAGAATTTTGATATCGATGACCTAAGGTCAGGTCAATTTTGCGACCTCCCCATTATAAGTCAATGGGAGAAAATTGAAATGCGCCTCTTTTGGACGAAAGACATTATAAACACTCCCAAACACCGAATTACAAGTAGTTTAGACACACTGAACATGAAAATGGTGTCCGTGACCCTTGTGTATGCCCTGAGGTCATCTTAGGTCACGAATGGTATCTAACAGTTTTTCGCAAATAACTTTTGATAGAGGCATGCTAGAGCGATGAAAACGCCTTAGATGTGTTCAGCTCGACGATACGGATCGACTGATATGCAACATGACCCTTTCCGGTCAGGTCATGACCTTGACATGAGGTCAAATTTTCAAGTTGACCTTTCAAGATCAAGTTATAGTTCATTCGATGCGTCTTGACGAGAGGAACACGATGCCGGTAAAAGTAAGCTCGTACAGGGCTTGGGTCAAAAGTTATTGCAGAAAAACTGTTTTCGAAAAAAATCGACTATTTTTGCAGTTTTTGCCCCCTGCAGGCAAAACCGTTGACGTTAGGTCAAATCTGAGAGAATTATTCAGAAAGGGCGTTAATAGGGCTATCGAATGCGCTTTTCAGCGGCGCTGTAGCTCTATTGGTTCCCGAGTTATGCGTTGGCTTCTTGGAAATTTTCGACATTCGACCTGGAAATCGGCGAAATTTTGCCTTCAATGACCTCTGGTGACCTGACCTTTGACCTGACCAAAAAATTGACCGAAGTGATTTCGTCATTATTTTTTACGCTCTTTCGAACGCCGCCTTCCGCGTATCGCTACGTGGCCCAGGAGCCGAGTTACAAGGGGGGGGGGTGTTCAAACACCCCCCAGCAGGGCGTGGAAATCCAGGACCCCCGGCCGGGCGCGGGTTAATGATATGCGGTAGTAAATCCGTAAGAGGCTGACAGTGTCAACCATTTCAGATGGAAGATCAATAAAGATCTATTTCACTTTCGACTTGCAGAATGTTCTGCAGGTGGACGAAGAAAATGGCGTAAGTGGACGCTTGGACTACTTCTAGTTATATCCTAGTTATGGATAATTATTGTAGCACTTGAGTCTTGAGCCATGGTTAATTGGTTACTGATACCGCATTGGAGTTATGTACAGGTCTCGCGAGATTAAGCGGTAGGTTTTGCACTTTTACATTTCCGGTTATATCTCAGAAACTAATCGATCTACGATGAAGCCATTTTACACGATCATGGCCGGCTTGTTACCCAACAAGTCGATCGCATCTTTAACACTTAAAAGCTTAAGACGACGAAGATATAGCCTGAAGTACACTAAATTTTCTAGGTGCAAAACCTACCGCTAAAACCCGCGAGCCCTGTACATAGAAAACAAACGATATGTTTCCCTATTTCTAAGCAGTAAGAAACAACAGCTGGTCTCAGGATGCTTATTTTTTGGGGGGAATATGCAGTCATTGTAAAGTTTTTTTTTTTTGACAAGACAGTGTCGAATGTTTTTCCTGTTTCAATATGTGAGAAAGACCCGTGGCAGAACTTTTTAAAGTTTTCGTACTTCAGGCACATTTGTATATGATTAACAAAAAATGAGGCATACAAAAATTATGAACTTAAAATGACATTTGTTTCCAATCTTTTTAGGTGCTACGGTACCAAACGTTCTTTTCGTTCGCCTGGGAGGACCGGCGACTGGTCGTACCAAGATCGGCACGAAACTATTCCAGCATCACGCTCGACTCAGATCTGAAGGAGCGTATGTGGCTGCCCGACATCTTTATATTCGGCCAGGAGGACTTCGAACAGGGTCGCCTGCTGCAGGACGTCGGTCGACTGCACCTGCTGACCAGTGGTCACGTGTTCCTCTCCATCTAGTCAGTATACCTTCGGCTGGCTGCTCATGGGACTTAGTACTGAGGTCACGTGTTCCTCTCCATCTAGTCAGTGCTGCGGTCACGTGTTCCTCTCCATCTCGTTCAAAGCATCTAAAATAATGTTTAGAATTGTGTGTGTATTGTGGGAGGCTGCGCAGTGCGCACAACCGGTTTAATTCCGCTGTTTTTTTTTCAGCTCCTCATATTCGGTTGGCTGCCATCTGGACTTCTCAGCATACCCATTTGACGTTCACACATGTGATTTGATCGTTGGAAGTTGTAAGTCCTATTTTGCCACTGTATTTTACACGTTTATAGTGATAGCATTCATGTGGCGCAGCCCGCAGTTATCTGTGCCGTTTACTCATCGCCCACCTCACAGCGACATTCCTTTACGAGTATGTGTATGTGTATTTTATATGTCTGTGTGTATTTTTGTCTCTTCGCTACATAAATTGTTGATACATCCTCCCAGCATTGCACCATTTATATTGTAAACGTCATGGGAATTACAACTTATTGTCATGGTTCTTCTCATTTGACTTCCTTCGCTCACACTCGCTGAAAGTTCCCTGTGTCACTCATTTTCAGACTCTCAGACACAAGAACAAATCGAAATGCTCTGGGCACCAAGACAACATGCGGTGTTCGAAGGAAAGGCTTTGAAATTCAACACCTTTAGCATAACTTTCCAGAGAGCTGGCCCTCACACATTCTGCTTTGGAGAAGGAAGTCAAAGTAAGTATCGTTTTTGGAAACGGGCTCCAAAAATAGTGGATATTTGCCCTTTCTCATCAATATATTACGGATATGTTCCACTCACGAGGCATCATTTCTCGGCCTTCCAGGGAGTTGTCGCCGCACGGTGTTGGTGAGCGTGCGTCTGAAGCGCAGCACCACCTTCTTCTTCTTCCACACGTTCTTGCCGTGCGTGCTGCTGGTGGCCACGTCCTGGCTGAGCCTGCTGCTGCCTCCCGACGTCATCCCTGGACGGATGGTCCTCTGCATCACCTCGCTGCTGGCCCTGCTCACCATGTACACATCCAGTCTGTGAGTACAGGCGAGGCGCTCACCGTTCCGTGCTTCTATCCTCAGGATACTGAAGTCCTTCTCCTCCACGCCGCAACCCCCTCCGGGCTGGACAGGCAACTTTATCTCATGCGGGTTGCTCCCTTGGAGCGGCACCGCTGCTCCCGAGGGAGCGCACCCCGTAGCCGGGTGCAGTGAGTACCTTGGGGCTGGGTGGCCTGTCCTCTGGACGGGCTCAGTCCCGGTGACTCACTAGGGTGCCTGCCCAGACCAATGTCTCCTGGCTATATCCTATCATCCTCCCGGCTCTGAAATGGTCCCATTGGACCGAAAGGCCCTAACCCAACAAAACAAACAAAAACAAAACAAAGCGATGGACTCACATCGAGTCTGTGAGTAACGGCGAGGTGCTCACAGGCTCAGATCTAAGACGTGTTTATCATATACTCCTCCAGTCTGTAAGTAACGGCGAGGTTGCTTCGAAGCTCACCATTCCTTTCGTCTGCACCCCATCTACGAGTATCTACATGGACATGGACACTAGCCTGTTAGTAACGGTAGTAGCTTAGCGGTTTGCCACTCCTCCCGTCAACCCGACAGAGTACATACGTGCATACTTACACGGACACCTGTCTGTAAGCAACGGTACGATAGCTTCGCGATTCGCCACTCCTTCCGCCATCTCTGAACAGTGGACTAGGAGCCTCAGCCATGTATAGGAACGCCGAGTCGGGCGAGTTTGCTGCCACTCTTGGTTCATCCCATCTCGCTTTAGTTCGAGCTCTGACCTGTCGCGTGCGTTCTCCAACAGCGGCAGCATGCGCGTATCGTACATCCGCAACACGGACGTGTGGTTCGTGGGTTGTCTGCTCTTCGACTTCCTCATCATCCTCGAGTACGCCGTGCTGCTATGGGTGCAGAGGGAGCTGGCGGATGGGGCCGCGCGCTGGACCCGCGTTACACCCTTTCAGCTGCGCAAGGTGAGGATGACTGGGTTAAAAGAGCCGAGGACATGAAGTACGAAATTGCCATGGATGTCATCGATAAGTGCACCTGTAGATAACATTGATGAACAATGATCATGACACAGTGGGAGCCCACGGGAGTCTAAATCCGGACAGATTCTTTACAGTACCTTTCTTTCAGGAAGCGAATGGGAAAGCCGACCCGAAGCCGACCGTCAGCTTTTGGCAGCGCCTCCGGAACCCCCGATACATGGACCACGTGTGCCGCTGGGTGCTGGCAGTGCTGTTCACGCTGTTCTGCGTCGTGTTCCTCGCCTACACGCTGGGTCGGAAAGGAGAAGACGCTGGCGAGCAGGCCAGCTGAGGAGCCAGATAATCACCTGCTCTACAGCAAATGTGATAGGGCTGTTGGCAGCGCCATGGCTGCAGGCGAACAAAGTCATGCATACTTAGTTAGAGGGAGAGTTCAGTGTTTTTCTATAAGTATATCCTTAGGCACATATGCGTTGATCCGAAGTTGAATATAGTAGTAGGTATATAGGTATTTACTTGCGTAATTAGAAACAGAGCAATAATTCATTGAAGTAAGCATTTGGTGTCGAGGCCCGTTTCATTGATGGGTTTTTAGGTCCACTTTTTCCACCAGTCTGTTTTCAGCTACCTTTCTTGACAGTTGTGTGATCTTCGGCATTAAAGGGACCCTCCCACCTTAAGATTAGATTTGAGTTGAGATAGCCAAAATGGGGTCCCTGGCTCACAATTACCGGTTTCGGCACTCACAACATCCAGAAATGCCTTAAATCGGAAATATTGAATTTCAAAATTGCAGCATTTTGATTCAGAGGGGCTAATGCATAGGAATACCCCTCTGAATGTGTGACGTCAGCGCAGATATCTAACGATTTTTAAATGTTTGACTAAAACGTTTTGTAGCACGCGGTGGTATATGCTGCTTTGCGCGCAACAAATGCCGCACTTTCAAATAAAGTCGCTAGGAACAGCGGAGATCCCAAAAAGTAAACAATCGTAAAACTCTAATATCTTGAAAACCAGTGAATATTTTTCGATGAAATTTGGTAGATATTCGTTTTCGCTCTTTCTGAACCGAGCGACATCACTTTCATGCCAATTCATTAACTTTTTTGAAGGTGGGAGGGTCCCTTTAATAGCATCACGATGCTACGCTAGGCATGCTGAGGTGTGCAATGCATATAACGCCTTTTCAATAGTTATCCTTCTATATGTAGTACTCTCGAGAGCCCTGTCGTTGGTGTGATTTGCTCTCAGGAATGACAAAATGGGTGGATAACAAAAACAAGATTGGTGGTCTCTACCCGTGTTGTTCGTCTGTTTAAAAGCTCAATGCTTGGGTGCATTATAATTGAAATATGCTTATTGCTGGATTGCTGTGCAAAACGCCATGAGTTTTTATATCGTTAACGTTAATGACCTAGTTATATTCATCAGTGCCTACGATTGAAATGATGGATACATATGGATCTTGAATAAATTATGCTCACACGAATTAATGAGAAGTGAATATTTTTTTCTTCCATTCTGAGCACCCATGAACATTATTTACTCAGAGGTTGGACCGTTAATGGCATGCAGTTGTTACTGGTAGCGATAATTTGACAATGGCGCTCAACAATTTCTGAAAATCTGATAGAACATTATACTTTTTCGTTAGGTTATTTGGTGAGGGATCATGAGTCGCTAGCAGACGCCGAGCTTTCCTATGCATTCTAAAATATGTATTATGTTCTGTTGATGGTGCTACGCGAGCTGCGTGAGTCTCGAGCTACGCGATGGTTGAAGAACTATATGCTACCTAACTTAAATAATTTTGTTATAATACCTACACTGCTCGTTGTCATGGATGTCTTTATGCCTATCAGGGTTTCCATGGCTTGACCGTAGGTTGTTGCATAGAGTGTAAACCTGTTGCAACCTCATTTTACTGTCCAACGTTCCCCGTTAAGTATGACACAGTTGACATTTACAGGCGAGGTAAATAAGTCAGACTTCCTTGGTCGTTATCGTTCCAGTCCATCCAAATAGCTACTTACATCCTCAAGTCAGGTATATTTTAAGCAGCAAGAATGTCATGACGACTTTCAAACCACCGTTTGTACACACAATAAACACTTTGAGCACACAATAAATGCATGGGAACACAATGGGCATGAGCAAACACAACTGATATAATCTGCCAAATCTCAGGCCACCGTCCGACGGCCGACCAAGTGCCGAGGGGCATGAGAGTCGACTACCTGACCAGCCTCTGTACCCAACAACTGCTCCGGTAAAGCTCCAGGTCTCACGGCGTGGTGTCCCTGTCATAGACGACAGAAAGACGAGGCTGCCGCACACGAATTTTGCCCCGGCGGGGACACATTCGCGGCGCTGACACGCTCAGTCGAGGGGGAGCAGCTGCGGGCGAGAGAGATCGGTCGGCGTTCGGCCCAGCCCGGCCCGGCTGACGGCCGATGACGGACTGACATGAGACGGATGACGGATGACGGTTACGATGATGTGACGGACGCGACGGCTGCTTACGAGCGCAGCGCGCGCACGTACGCCATCATGGCATCGTAGCTGACCTCGCAGGTGTGGAAGACGGCCTGGCAAGCGTCGGCGCCCTGGGCGCTGCCAAGGTAGGCGGCGTAGAAGTAGGCCTGACGCGGCGTGCTGACCTGCTCTTCGGTGAGCGCGGCCGGCGCCTTTCCGAACAGCTGCACGATCAGCTCGTCCTCGGCGGTGAGCTGCTGCTCGGGCCGCGCCTCCACCAGGCAGACCAGCTTGAGCGCGCAGCCGTACACGTCGGCGGCGGCCACCATGTCGAGCACCATGTCGGTCTGCTGCTGCGCGGCCACCGAGCGCTTGCCGCGCCGGCTGAGCGCCAGGCCGCCGACCAGCGCGGCGCCCAGCGCCAGACCAGCGACGCCGGCCAGCGCGATGCCGGCGCTGGCGGCGCCGACGCCGACCGTGCCGGCGGTGCCGATGATGACGGTGGCGTCCACGGTGAGCAGCACGGCCGTCAGGGCCACGACGACGCGAGAAAAGTGCATCTTGGCTGCGGAAAGGCGAGAGATGCATAAGAACCTCATCCACTTATGAACGAGAACAGTTTTTGGTGTCATGCATGACTGCGAGCACCGATTGAACTTTCTAAGATTCTAGGCAGAAAATTAAGCTGGTTAAAAAAAAGAAAAAATAACGAAATGACGCTTAATATTAACACATCTAATGTGAGCAACAAATTGCATTGATTCAGCCACGCTGTGATGCAAATGTTCGTGTTTTACCGAAGGTGTTCTTTGAATGTTTTTAGTAGAAACATAAATTGAAATAAGTCGTCAAAAACATTCAAAACATTTTCTTTGTAATCTTTTTAAGATAAATTTGTTCCCTGTTTGATATCACTGTTGAGCGAACTCACCAGATAGAGGAGGGAGAGGTGCAGGCTGTGAAACCTAGGAGCTTGTTAACCTGACAGACGTCGCTGGGCCTTATATACCCACTCGGCGGTCGGCCCGCGGGGCTATCCGGCGCGGCTGGCTCCCCTGATTGGCACACCTGAAGGACTCTGCTCCCCCCGCCGCGCCGCGCCGCGCCGGCCCACCCCGGCCACGACTGTCCAGCGGCGACCTCGCGCCCACGTGGTGATCCGCGCGCACCTCGCGCCCCGGAAGGAACCTTCAAAGTTTTGAGTGGCCTTGGATAAATTGATAGCTCAGTAGGCCAGGTGTGTATTTGAATATTATCGCCTTGCATGATGCTGTTGTGATGGATATGCCTCGGTTCCATTGGATATTTGCTGAAATCGAGGATCGCTCACTCATCACTGCACAGTAGTTTCTATGGATGAGCATTAATTTTAACCGTCCCGTTGGGCTCTGACGAGCAACTCGCCCTGTTGGGGGGGGGGGGGCATTTTGGCCCGCCCTAAGATCTCGAGAACCACGCAACATAGCGAAAAGTCGATCAATCAGCGGCGTCCAGGCTGACCTCCAGGCGTCCCACTTGGCTACCACCGTCTCCGCCTGGTAAACGGGTGTCCAGTCGGCTAGCAGCCGGTCCAGACACAGGGCGTCCTGGCTCAGGTGGCGGGTCGACCTGATGGTGACGGTTCTCGGCTGATACCGGCTCTTCACGCCAGCGACTGATGCGGCGAACCTCATCACAATTTACATATTACATATACATGGTACCTATCATATCGTTGCTTATCATTAACCCGCGCGGGGCTGGGGTCTCCAGCCGAACGCGCGGGGCTGGGGGGGGGGGTAAATTTTACCCCCTCCTGTTATCTCCCGAACTAATGGTCCGATTTGGAAAATTCAAACGCCAATCGAAAGCTCTCATCACGAAATACTAAAAACATGTACTTAATTTAAAGTTTGAGGTCAAGGTCAAGGTCAGGTCAAGGGTACAAATTGCAAGTTTCTACAGTATCGGCCTTGCACCGTAGTTGCCGAAGAATGGAGTCATGGACTGAGACTGATCGCCCAAAACGTGTTCTTAGGCTACCAAGACAATATTCGTTGCATACAATATCATTCAGAGGTCAAGGTCAAGGTCAGGTCAGGTCAGGTCAGGTCACCAAAAAACAAAATATAGAAAAGGGCATGTGCGACACATGTTTTATGGGTCATTTTACTCATAGAATTCAATAGGCACACTCAATAAGTGATATGGACCACCTCTGGATGAATTTCAGGTCGAGGTCTGGTCAAGGTCAGGTCAAGTGAGGTCAAATTTTGAAGTTGGTTGTTAAGGCCTAAAAAGGTGTCTATCTGATGCAGTTTTTCACGGCCAATCGAATGGTGCTATTTTTGTTTCCGTACGAGGTCTAGAACTTCCAAAAAAGTCATTTTTCAAAAAAATTGTGTGTCGTGACGTCATAAAATTTTGAATAACTCCCACATTTTTGAACCGATTCTTCTAAAATTTGGTATGTAGGTGCACATAGACCACTTCTCTGACATATATTCCGGTTTTTTCGATAGACTCAAAATTTTGGATTTTATAATGATTTTCCCAAAAAAGTCAGTTTTTTGAAAAAAAATTAGGCCAAAATCCAAAATTTTCAAAAAACCGAGATAGCCATTTGATAGACAAAGTAAAATTACGTATAACCTTTTTTGTTACGTCTTGATTCCTTTAAAAATGAAGATGTTAGCGGCGTTTGAACTTTTGCCGTTTTTGAGGCGAAAATGGCGAACATGACGTCACTAAAACGTCAATTTCTCAAAAATTTTCCGACGGATTTCGCTCAAATTTTCAGGGAACGTGTCAAATTGATGTAAGAAAAGGTACTGAAAGTTTGGCGGTGCTGCGCGCCGCCGTTTTTGAGATATCGCAAAAATTCGCGAGGGGGGGGTAAAATTTACCCCCCCCCCAGCCCCGCGCGGGTTAACATATCAATAGCAGTAGCAAATACATAGATGTGAATATACAACATAAAATGGGTCTTTTGAGGGCTGTATCATGCGCGACGCCATTATCGGAAGTCCTTTTTGGTGTGCATTATTAAAGGGACCCTCCCACCTTAACATTAGATTTGAGTTGAGATAGCCAAAATGGGGTCCCTGGCTCACAATTACCGGTTTCGGCACTCACAACATCGAGAAATGCCTTAAATCGGAAATATTGAATTTCAAAATTGCAGCATTTTGATTCAGAGGGGCTAATGCTTAGGAATACCCCTCTGAATGTGTGACGTCAGCGCAGATATCTAACGATTTTTAAATGTTTGACTAAAACGTTTTGTAGCACGCGTTGGTATATGCTATTTGCGCGCAACATCTGCCGCAAACGCCGCACTTCTAAAATAAAGTCGCTAGAAACAGCGGAGATCCCAAAAAAGTAAACAAAAGTAAAAGTCTAATAACTTGAAAACCGGTGAATATTTTTCGGTGAAATTTGGTAGATATTTGTTTTCGCTCTTTCTGAACCGAGCGACATCACTTTCATGCCAATTCATAAACTTTTTTGAATGTGGGAGGGTCCCTTTAAATGGTGCTGAGCGGCCGGAGCGAAGAGAGTGCGCTGGGGGAATTCAAGATAAAGAAAGTACCGCACCACTGCATTTATGGATCTGATGCAGGCATTTAGCGATATGTCACAGCCAGATACCAGCCCAGCAACACATCCATGCCGTGGCTTACCCACCCTGGCCGTTTTTATCAATAAATCTTCCTGTTTGGTGTGGGACAGCACACCTAACCATGGACATCCACATATAGAGGTCTTTGGGCCAGCTTGCATAAGCTATAAAGCTGATATTAAACTCGCATCAGCTGCTCCCCAAAAGCGAAAATCCATAGCATGCATTAAAAATGCACTTCAGTGAAACTAGTAGTTACGTTACAACCGAGTGGATTACTTACAGATACTAGCAGCACTGAACATTCTGAAAGAATGTCATATTTGGTGTGATTGTGTGAATTATTAAATGGTCGTCCATGATCGCGACGGCCCATTGGGCAGCGTGTCCATTCATAAACCACTACCCGACCATAGCCGCTAGCCATTGGACGCACGTCTTTTATAGACACGCATAAAGCATGCATGAAAGCTGTTCTGCAGTGAAGTTCATTTTAAATATCAAGACAACTCAAGCAGTCGGGCAAGGCACCTGGTATGCGAAATCATTTGCATGATTGTCCTCCCTTTGACATCAGAATGGTGCATTAGCTGGTTGGTAGTTAACCAACATTCTGGATATGCGCAGTCTTCGCTGTTCCCTCATGCCCTGCGATTATGCTTACATATATTCGTAAATTTATTAGTAAAAGCGCAACTAGAGACGCCAACGCTCACATTTTTTTGAAGGCTGATGGATCGGTGTCTTGTTGCCTGGTGGGCAGCGGTCAGTACGCCTTCCTTCAAACTTGGCTGGCGATTAGTAGCTATGTGTCTACCACTGCAGGTGTATGATTAGGCTAGGCGAGTGATCATGTCGCTAAGAGACAAACATAAACAGACGTAAGGCCCAACTTTTGGAATCCTTGACCACTGCACCATGGACATGCCGCTCATAAGTGGTGGCCGGCTACGCTTCGTATATTACATGTTTTGCCTCAATTAGGCTCCGCTCTCACTTTCATCATTGATTTCCTCGACCAATAATAATCAAAAAGTGATTTTGAAAATGTTGAAATAAAAAAGCAAAAATTTTACAATGGCAAAAAGAATACAACTCACCATGCGAGTAATACAATATTCCATATTATATTGCCCAGCTGTGACAAAACTACACTGAAAACAATTTCACCCGAAGCTGGCGAATTAAGCGTTGCTCTGCGGGTAGTATATGTGTATTAACTTGCCATGTCCAGATTCTAGCTAGAGGGTAAGCAGACTTGCCTGCCTTATTACTCGTAAATATGCACTGTACCCACAGTCTGCAGTAAGGTAGCTACCCAGCACCGGATATTGTCCCCGCGGGTGTCGAGTCATTGGCACAGCCCTCACTCAAAGAGTTGGAACTACTCGAGGTATCGTAAACGCGTATCCTTGGATGGCGAACCTTTACATAACCTGCCCTGAAGGAGTTGGATCTACTGTTACAACTAGATGGCGTTGTCTCATACAGTTTTGAATTACAACAATTTTTTAACTTTTTTTGAACCAATGATATGTTGGCACATTGTTTGGCGGTTTTCAAGTGGGGGCGAAAGTACAATTGTTAGGGTGCATCCTTAAAACCTCTGCAATATTCATCACGGGACGATTGGCAACGCTTTTTCTTCCAAAACTACCAAGTGAGACCATTTTGATTCTTATATAGGTCACGAAAGCAGTGGCCACAGAAGGGACAGGCTAAGGTGATCGTTAGCATTTTGCTGGCATTTCACGGGTACTGTTTGAGCTCTTTCCTCGCGCACGCACTCCTATCTTCCCCGTTGATATCAACTGTTCCCATCCTTGACCCTTCACTGTCTACACCCAACTTCCGTTTGCCCCATCATGGGGAAGCGGCGCCGTCAGCGCCCGCTTTCTGATTCCTGCTCCGACTCTGACACCGACTCTCCTCCCGTCTCGAATCCCTCTCCTGACCCTGCTCCTGCCTCCATGGAAACCGACTCCCGCCCAACCGTTACCCCTCCCTCCTCCACCCACCCCTCGGCTGCCCTACCCGGTACTGACCCTCGCTCGTCCTCCGACCACGCCCGGACCTCTGACCTTTGCTCGACCTCTGACCCCGCCCTGGACTCCGACCCTCGCTTGTCTGCCGACCACGCCCGGATCTCTGACCCTCGCCCGTCCAACGACCACTCCCGGAGCTCTGACCCGCGCACGAACTTTGATTACTCACCTGCCTGTGCCACCGCTGATCGCTCTTCTGACGAGCCTTACTTAGCTTCGAACGGTTCTTACCTGGTCGTTAAGCCTTGCGATAGTGAAGTTTCCTTCCGGAGGATCAACGTGTTCTGGCCACAAAAACAGGTAGACGCCATATGCGGTCCATGCGATGTAGACATCGAGGCACCGGCGAACGGTACTCTGATCATTAAAACGAACTCACGCAAACACACCAAGG